GAGCTATTTGCGCTAGCCGTCTCTAATTTAGCAGTGAAAGACTAGAGAGAAGGCAGCTAGTCATCATTACCCACCGCCAACCCATTGGCTACTCTTTTACTAACGAATAGTGGGACTGACCGTTTTATTATAAAGCCCCCACGGTTGAAAGGGTGAGCATGTTTGGTGGGACGGGGGATTCGAACCTGCGACCCTCAGATTGCGAATCGAACGCCCTAACCACCTGGCCATGCTAGGCCTAAAACTAATTAAAACAAGTTGTCCTTGGAAAGCATCTAGGCTCGAGTAATCACGTGACTCATGAAATTCAAATGATTTTCATAAATGACTTGGACGCAATGGCACCCTTGACCATCCAGTTCCCAAGGACTTCAACTCCCAGGAGCACGTGGAGTTGACGACATGAATGACCTCCTTTTATTACATGCCCCCACAACAAGTATGATCGCGAAAGTCTAGAACATAAAGTTATATTTAAACTAAATATTCTTCCTTCACCCGGAATTAACTTCAGTTAATATCTCTTTGCCCCCCCCCCTGTTAACTTGATACTGTCTACACATATTTCCCTGATCATTATTATTATTAAATTACTATTTTGTAATTTTTCGAATTGATGTTTAATACTTTTCTGTGTCCTTTTAATTTGTAAAATTCAATTTCTATCACTTTAATACTTGTTTTCCATATTTAAAATTGTTTATAGAACCGCTTCAACAATGTTCCTTCTAACAATATTTTTGTTAACGTGCTCCACGCAGTTCGTACGTAATTTAGAATCTCTATATATTCTAACCCTTCAACGATTCTGTCTATGCCTTTTTCAATGTAACACGGTTTAAACTGCCTGACGAAGGGTTTTTGCCCGAAACGTTGCAAATAAATATAACGTTTTCGTCATAGACGTGTGTTTTACCAGTTTTGAACACTTTTTTCATTATCTTTCCAAGTCTTGCGGTCTTTTCTACTGTATGGTTTTTCTAATGAGTACTCTGTTGAGCCAAACGCATCGTCGGAAATAAATATGGCGGACATAGTGTGGTTGAAATACTATTATACACTGTTCTTCTTTTTGAAAAACCCCTTATGGACTAAATAAAGAGTGTAGTGTTAAAAATATAATAGTCCTAACAATAATGTATTATAACAAATATAATAAATGATAAGCATGTTTCGTCAACTTAGAAAAGGTGTTCATACCCTAACAATGTTGTCAGTTTTATTTAGCAATGTGCTTAATTTAAAGAACTTTGTTACGTTTTCTCATAAGCTTGTATTTTTCTCTTCAAGGACTGAAAAAATACGTGAATGAACTACAAATAAGCATGAAAAGTAAAACCCTGAAAAACGTATAGATCAACCTGTAGGCCTTGTTTTGTAGACGTAAGGAGAATTTTAAAACACGACTTTATCTCCTAGAAAAATCAAGAGCCCTATGTGGCAAAGTATTTCTAATTAACTGAAATGATAGTGTAAGTTTCACTATTTATCGAAGTAAACACATTCGATGTAGAAGGAGTAGAAACGAGAAATGGTTCTGATTTAGGTTACTTATTTCAACAACACAACGTGCAAAATGTTTACTTGTTGTTGATAACACTTTTGGGGGAGGGGGAGGAGAGTGACCTTGCATGGGCCCTACGCTATTGTGTAATATGCATGTATGTGCTAAACCGGCCTGACTAGAAAAAGTGCCATTTGAAGTCCCCTTCCGAGTTGCAGAAGGGTGGGCCGCCTCAGTCATCTCCCAAATGACACTCCTGCTCATCATCATGAAAATGCTAGATGATTTTGTAATGTTCATAGCTTCGTTTCCTCATTCCAAACCAAAATTACAAAGTTGCCGTAGTGTATAAAAGCGAAGGAAAATGTGTAAATTGTTTTCAGATTTGGCCTTTGAATCCAATAAATCCCTCACTTTGAAAGAAAATATTGAAAATACCTTTAAAGCTTATTTAATTCAAAATTAAGTTGTGGAATTTTTTAAAATTTCTTTGATGCTTATTGCTTTGGATATAAAATGGTCTTTAGTAATGCAAACTGGAAGTACGTGGTTCTTTTTTTTTCGGAAATTGCCAAATATTTTACAGAATATCTTTGTAAGAGAAAATAGTGTTGATGAAAAAAGTTCCTTTTTATAAATTATTCTTAATAAAATACTTATTATGGTACAAAAAGCGTGTGTTAAAATGCACAGAATGGTAATTAAGTAAATATTCAACTTTATAACACAACAAATAATAATTTCTAAGAAAAGGAATAATTTGATGATGGATACACCATCAGAGATTTATCTTAAACGTTATCAACTCAGTTTAATTTCAGTAAAATTGTGACGTGATAAAGCTTATCGTATTCGTTAGTATCTTAGTTTAAGCTTAATAAGGCTTAGCTGTGAGTTAAAACTAACCATCTCAGTTTAAGCCTAATAAGGTTAATATGTACCTTAAAATGACTGAAATACATTATAGATGTTGAAATAGTTGAACACTTTTTCTTTTTTTGCAGGGAAGGGGGAGTGAGGTGCAGCTGAAATTATATATTTAAAGTGTAACATATTACTGATCGTATTGAAACTATAAAAAATACAGGTATAATAGAGCATGCTATTATCATAATTTCTACTATTCATATCAGCTGGATAGTTTGATAATCCAGTCCATGTTGATAAAAGCAGCATGAACATAGCGGTTTAATATTCTTGTTAATAGAACTAACATGGGCATGGGGGAGGGGAGCTTATTTAAATTCATGTACATCTGGTTTTGTATATGGCACGCTGTTGTACAACTTCGAACTCAGTTACTCGTCGTGCCCGTATATGATTGCGTGTTGTAACACACTGAATAAACACTACGTAGCGACGACTCTTGATATTAAGAGTAAGTTTTTGTACCTCTTAGAAATAATAGAATTAATTGTATAAGTACTCAAATCAACATACCATTGCAAATTGTATTGAATTGTCTGTATCGAAATTTATCATATTTAACTTTAATAAATTAATATTAACTTCTAATCAAAGTAAGCCACCTACCTATTTCATAAATAGAAATATACACCTCGTAATGACGGATTTATTATCTGTATATGTGACAAACTTAAAATAAGACTCAAAATTCGAGCGTTTTCGAATGGATGACTATTCTTCTTCAGGAGAACAAAGGGATGTATATGTGACAAATATCCACAAGTTATGTGTTGTAAATGTACAATACTAAATCGTAAAGGTATAAATAAATTGATATACTAATAAGTAGACTATAAAATTAATATTAAACAGAAATGGCTTGTATCGTGTTCTGGTGCATAATTCAGACTCACACTTATTAGTGATCGTGTTCTGGTGCATAATTCAGACTCCCACTTATTAGAGACCGTGTTCTGGTGCATAATTCAGGCTCACGCTTATTAGCGAACATTGAAGAAACTACATCTTAATTAATTACCTCAAACAACTTCGCGGGTTCGAACCCCGCTGGATGTCAGCTTTTACTTATTTAGAAAGAGTTCACTTTCATACGATGGTGCGCCAATATTCTGATTTGAAGAGCAATCAGGCATTTTAAAGTATTAATTGTTAATAATAACAATTTTCGACCATGTCTCAATATTTTTAATTAAAACCGTTTCAGTTTGTAGTTTGGAACTTGAATTAATAATTCCTATATAGTTAAATTTATTTGATTCTAAGATAAAGTGTGCTATTAGTGGTAACTATTAGCCTCGTCAGTTGGTAAATCATGATGGATGTACATGATATTTGGTAATAGCTTGTGTGTGAGTGTGACTGCTTATGGTTGTTTTGAGAGTGAAATGTATTTACCTTATTAGAATTTATATGTTAAAACATGTGAATGTTACTATTTGTTTCTAATTTGGTATGATTACGGTAAATAATTTCATAAAACGGGTAAAGATGAACATTTTTGTGTTCTGTTGTATAACTCATTGTATTAGGTCGTCAAGATATTAATGTCGCGTTTTGGAATACTTTCATTAACCACCCACCTAAAACCGTACATCACGTATAATAGTTAAACGAACCGCCTAAACATCACGTTAGTGTAGCCTATATAATGTGTAAAGTTTAGTATACTATAATGCCTTATAGTGATGGCACACGACGAGATACACATTCGGCATGTAATGTTGTTTGAATACAAGAAGGGAAACAACGCCTCTGTAGCCACAAAGAATATCAAAGAAGTTTATGAAAATGTTTTGAACGTTCGTAACTGTCAACGATGGTTC